TTCTCGTAAACGCCATTCCAGTTACTGGTCGATAGCAGCGCGTGCCTGTTCATGCACCGCAGACTGTGCACCGCCGTATGCACAAGGCTGCATCAAGCATGCGATGCTGCACGTGGAAGCATTGGACTCCTCCTCCTTCCAGGCCCGCTGCCATCCTGCCCACTTCTGAGACTGTTGATATCTCTGCATCGCTTCACCCATCTCCAGACCCTGATTTACGCCCCTCTATACCTCTCTACACCTCGATCTGAGCCCAACCCGCCCAACACGCAACTAATTTCCACACCTCATCACACGTGCGCCACTCGCACCGCTGTGCTCATTCGCCAGCATTTACCCAGATGCTAGTGCCCACTCGGCCCGTCGGCCACCAATTGATACTTGCAGCCTGGACGCCCTACCCCAGGATCGTCTTGCCGCGCAGCGCGACAAAACACGCAGACGCATCTACGGTCCACTCCCGCCAATGATGCGCGGCCCGGACGTCACCCTCTGCTTGCGGCACTCGGAGCCCGGCGAGCGTCGTCGCATCGGTATCCGCATTTGATTGATTTTGCATATAGGCCTTGATTTATTCGGAGCAAAGTCAAGACGGAAGTTGTCTAGTTGAGCCTCATCAGCCCTATCTGTCATTAACACCGTGTGACGAGACAGTTCACGCAGTGCAACATGGAAACGTGGAACGACCAAGCCGGGCCTGTGCCAAATTCGCCCCCAACCGCTGGACCAAGCTCAATGAGACAATTTCTCCCATCCTTGTCACTACGGTGCGCTTTACCGAGCGCCTCTCTTCCGCCACGGAGAATATGCAGTATTGCTTTGCTTTGCCCTTCCTTCATGTTTCAAGGCCAGTATATTGCCAAACTGGGCAGGAAGTTCCCTGGTCCCAGTCTATACTTGTCTCGTGAGCTGAGATGGGTCCCCGCGGAGGCTACACTCACGCGCTAGCTGAGCCACTGCGTACTGGTTGGTTATTGAGGCTGGAGGTAAAGCCCGAGGGCATTAATGCATGTCTCTTCGATGAAGCCCCGCTATCACTCATCTGAGATCCCAACTATCATCAGATACTAGTATCTAGTAATGCGGCTCCTTCAAACCATGTCATGCCGTGCGTGGTATCAATGTGTGCTGATGCAAACGATAGCATCCCGATCTGCCCTGCCAAGTCATCATCCCGTCCTACTCCTACCCTTAATGTACACGACTTTAGCTTTCTGAAATACCACCCGTTGAGCCTTGCCCGTGATAACCTAATCTTGGACCTTCGCACCACCCTCTTCATCAGCCGATTCTGCAGCAGAATCAACCTTCTTCGCCTCCTCTGGCCCTTCGGCATCTGGCTTGCTATCATCTTTGGCTTCAGTGTCGTCTTTTGACGGTTCCTTTTCGTCGTCTTGGGCGTCGGGAGCACTGGCCTCAGCATTCTCGGTAGCTGCTGACTCTGTGGCGGCAACTGCATCTTTCTTTTCTTCTTCTTCGGTCGAGGTACCCGCTGCCTGCTCCTCGCCCGCGCCTTCCTTGGCTGCTTCAGTCGTGGGATCCTTGGCATCTGCTTGTGTTATCTCCTCCGCAGCTTCAGCCTCGTCTTCGTCCTCATCCTCGTCATCATCTTCGTCATCATCGTCTTCGTTGTTATCTTCGATAGCCGTGACGTCGCCGTCGCTATCGGCTTCCTCTTCTTCCTCGTCCTCCTGTGCCGATTCGAAGATTTGAGTGACTGGTCGCGCTTGAAGAACTGGTCGCTCCTCCTCTTCCTCATTCTCCTCCACAACTGTTTGAACGGCCGTGGCTCCAACTGATGGCGAATGCCTATGTCGCTTGGTTGTTCCAGCTGTTGATAGCGAGTGATCAGACATTCCGTCTGCCAGTGTGTTACTTGAAATCTCTGATGTCGAATCAGAGGGCTCTCGCTTCATAATCAGAGGTGGCGCTGACGGCTTGACCTCTGTTGATGGCTCAATGCCCTCAGCCTCTGGTGGAATGGTGTAGTTGTCCTCCGGTACCAGACCGTATACATCGCAGACCGTCTTATAGAATATGTATAGCCCTGTGCGTCCCTCAACCTTCCAAAAGACCTCTCGGTGCGAGTACCATGCGTGCGCAAAGATTCTGTATACGCGCCTGAAGATGTTGGTCAACTGGCGCATTTGCGAGTGCTGCGTTGACGAGTCTGTGCCTAGCGCGAGCCGTGAAGGAAAGTGCTTAGGTGATGTGAGGGTGTTAGCTGCCCAGTCGAGCGTATGGCAGCAGTAGTCGATGGCACAACATGACTTTGGCGGGTCGTGTACTGCGCAAAGATACTGCCACTCGGAAGCGCGCATTTCGGGACACGTCAGGGACGAGCATGGTGGGTCGTCGGCGAAGAGGGCGGTAATGATGGAGTTGACCTTTTGTATGAGGAAGCGGCAGAGTTCGTATAGCCACAGCGTCCTGTCCACATTGGCGGGTGATTGTGCTATCTTCAATGCCATGTTTCTGTCTACCGGTACAGTGCCATTCGAGCCGGCGGGGTGCGTGAGCGAGTGGTGGAGGGCTTTGAGGTGTTCGGTGAGCTGGAATGCTGAATCAATCTGCGCATCTTGTCAGCCAGGCGCCTTCTTTATTGTAGCATGCCTCCGCGCACCTCTGATAATTCTACCAGTGGCGGTCCTTCTGCCATATCTTCCGCCTTAGTCCCCGGTCGTATTCTCCGCTCAGCGGCATGGTCGAGGTTGCTGAAGAGCTTCTGCTGCTCTGGCGACGCGGATACCGGCGAGAGCTGGTCTTCTGGGATGGGAGGCGGGCTGGGAAGGCGCGGCGAAGCGGGCGACGTCATATTTGCGGAATGATGGGTGGTAGTGAGTGAATTGCGATCACAGTAGGCGTCTGGCGACAGGTAGGCGGGGCGGCGTGTGTTGTTGATACCTGGAGCTTGCGAATGCAGGGCATGGGCAGGGGTCTTGTCAACCTTGGAACTAGGAAATACGCGACGGCGCTAGCTTCATCGCGCGTCAGTCGCGGTGGACCATTCTTCTACATGACTCTGCCACCCCACGACGTCATTGCCGTCTCTCTTGGCCTCCAAAATCCCGAAGTAGCTGCGATTAGGTAAGACGTTATGGGTGGTGCATCGTGTACTTTAGGTTGCATGTTCTTACGCACCTACCTCCAGATCATCTGTTCTAACTCATTCTAGAACTGTATCTTGACGCTCTGGCACCCCTCCTCGACATTCGAATCACAATCTAGTAACAGCTTGCCGGCCATGGACGGAAACGTGTCAGACGATGAAGTCCCCACTCTAGTCCAGCCAGAGACTAACACCAAAGTCCTCGACGACCAAGATGAGGACGTACCCAATCTTGTGGCGACCTCGGAGGAGGCACCCCAGGGCAAAGTGCCCATCACCATAGTTACAGGTTATCTGGGTGCGGGAAAGACGACTCTGCTCAACTATATATTGACTGAGCAACATGGAAAGAAGATTGCTGTTATTCTGAATGAGTTCGGTGACTGTATACTCACCTGCCTCCGAACATAGAACACCACTCTAACAGAAGACACAGCAATTGACATCGAAAAGCAGCTTACTGTCTCCGACGCAAACTCCACATCCGCCCAACCCGCCCCCTTTGTGCCACTCGCAAACGGCTGCATATGCTGTTCCGTAAAAGACATCGGCGTAGCCGCCATCGAAAACCTAATGGAGCAATCCGGCCTATTCGACTACATTCTACTCGAAACGACCGGCCTGGCTGACCCCGGAAACATCGCACCCATGTTCTGGCTCGACGACGGCCTAGGCAGTAGCATCTTCCTCGACGGCATCGTCACACTCGTCGACGCTAAAAACGTACTAAAGAGCCTCGACGAAGGACTAGGCGACGAAGAAAACATCGAAGAGAGAAAGAAAGCATCCCACGACGAACACGGCCCACTACTCACAACAGCGCACTTGCAAATCAGTCATGCAGATGTCATCATCATCAACAAAACCGACCTGGTCTCTGCGCAAGAACTCGAACAAGTCACCGAGCGAATCCGCTCTATCAACGGTCTAGCTCGCATCAAGACAACAACGAAAAGCCAAGTTCCACAACTCGAAGGACTGGTTCTGGATCTCCATGCCTACGACGAAGTCACAGATACAGATCTGCAGTTTGCGAGTAAAGGACACAGTCACCTCGACCCCACAATCACCACTTCAACTATCTCCTTCCCTGCATTAACTCGCGATCAAGTCGACAAGTTCGATCTCTTCCTCCGCACTATCTTATGGGAGGAGACGCTGCCGAATGAGACTGCACACAAGCCCTTTGAGATCCACCGTTTGAAGGGACGCGTTCCGGTCAGAGACGGAAAGGTACTTCTCACGCAGGGTGTGAGGGCGATTTACGACACGAATGAGTTTGACGCCAAGCCCGAAGATGGGGTGCAGGAGTCGAAGTTGGTTTTGATTGGGAGGGCTGTGGATCAGGAGGCGTTTAGGCAGAGTTTGATGGCTACGTTGGGTGGTGGGCAGTGACTGGGTCGTAAGTTCTAAGGAAAATGGACGGTGGCGCGGTTCGAAGGCGTTGTGGGTGTGCTGCAGATGTTGTAGATTAGAAGTGATGAGAGCGAATCAAATAGGCTGAGACGTCCTGCCTGATACCCAAGTAGCCTTCTTGTTGGCGGTAAACATCGTTATGCAGTGTCGGCCTGGTAAAAGGCCACTACCCCGCGTTGCCACGTCTTATCGGACTTCGACACAATCAACTTTTTACCACACCGTAAGAATGCCTAAATATATTTACCAGCCTCTCCAAAAGCCAAATTCAGAGCTCCGGCTACTTCAAATCAGCAAAGACCCTCGCACCCATGAACCGCAATGCAGCTTACAGAGGTACAGTCTTGTTGATTGCCCTCAATATACCGCTCTGTCGTACACTTGGGGTGAACCAACGCCAACCCGTAGTGTAGCAATCGGCAGGGCAAATTTGGAAGTACGACAAAATCTTTTCGACTTCTTACATGCCTACACTATGGAGGCCTGGGGTATGGGCAAAAAAACGTTGAGCACAGACTGGATCAAGGAGAAAATCGAAAAGCCGGTGTTCTATTGGATCGATCAGATGTGCATCAATCAAGAGGACCCGACTGAGCGCAGCGACCAAGTCCGTATCATGAGCAAGATCTATAAGCAGGCGAAAAATGTGCTCATATGGTTAGGGTGCGACCCTACCATGATTGAGGCTGCGCGTCGACTGCGAGACAAGGAAAATGACCTTGACATAGAGGCTATTGATACTCTATTAGGTCACCCATACTTCTCACGGATATGGATCATTCAGGAGATCGCGCTCAGCGTGAACGAACCTCTCTTTGTTTGCGGAGGGGTTGAGCTAAACTGGGAACGTGTATGCCTTGCGAGTAGCCATCCACGAAGCCTTCAGGCTGCCGTCTGGGCTGCTATCTGGGAAAGTGCCCGTGATCAAAGATATCGCACTCTGCAAGGATGTATCGCGTCATACTGTGAGAGCGATTGCCATGATCCTCGCGACAAAGTCTACGGGTTGTTAGGCCTTACACCTGAAAGATGGCGCGTGCGTGTTGACTACACAAAAGAGGTGCTTGAGGTATACTTCGATGCGGTGGCGGCCCTGTACGAAGAGTTATTCGACCTTGCAGACCCAGAGTGTCTGTATCCAGAACGATTGACAGCTGTCATCGACCCATCATACGTCTATCACCACACGCTTGATGTCCTAGCAAGATCGATGGGAGTCCCCCGACGACATGAGGGTGATCTGAAGGCATTTCTCGAATATCTGCAAGTCGCATACTTGGGAACCAAGATACGCAACGTCCAATATACATATACGGGCCGCATATATACAAGAGTGCAGGCGGAGTCATCTTCTGAACAATTCTTGGCGTCAGAAGCAGCAGCAGAAGAAGAAGAAGAAGAAGAAGAAGAAGAAGAAGAAGAAGAAGAAGAAGAAGAAGAAGAAGAAGAAGAAGAAGAAGAAGAAGAATTAGAGGCCAAATGGGGGTCTATCACAGCAACGAGGCGAAAACCATTGCTACGCGATATCATACCAGAGATGGGTTTGCAATTGGCAAGTACGACTGCAGAAAGCACGGCTGAGCAAAATAGCGACTCTTTGCTAGCTCGAGATCGGTGGTGGTGTAAGCATGAAGGCAAGATACACTACTTTGATTGTTTTGATGAGTACGGAAGACGTATCGCATGAGAGAGAAAAAAGGGTTATTCAGATAATGCTACGTTCCATTAGATCTTCATTTCACTAGAAGCAGCATTTATTCAAACATGGCGAAGCGAAACGATACAAACACCACATGTACCCCGAATCCCACAGCATAATAAAAAGAACTCAAATAAAAACAACGATCAATTTCGCCCACTAAGCTAGTCTCATGCTCCATCTCACGTCTCCCTCACACCCCATCCACCGCCGTCGCTCAAACAATACCCTTCTCATTCCCCACAACATTCGTCTCATTCCCACTCGACGCATCACCATGCAAGTACGCCGCAAGACCAATCTCATGATTGATCTCCGCCATGCGCTCCTGATCCTTGAGCGCCGCTCCCTCACTACCAAAGATAGTGTCCATCTCCTCGAGCGTCAGGCGCTTGGTTTCAGGAACGAAGAACCAGATGAAAGCTGCTCCAAGCGTGGTTACGAGCCCGAAGAGAACGTAGGTGCCCCAGGTGATGTTCTCGAGCAGCTCGGGCGTGATTTGTCCGATGATGAAGTTGTTCATCCAGTTGGAGGAGCCGCCGAGGGCTGTTCCGTAGGGGCGCGTGGATAGGGGCCAGATTTCTGTTAGGATGAGTGTTAGCACAAGCTTACAGAAGAAAGCTTGGGGTGAGTAAGGATAGAGCTTACCGGCGATCAAAATCCAAGCACAAGGACCCCAGGAGTAACCGAAATGGATGACGAACAACCAGACCATCACAACGGCTGCCCATCCCGCCGCACGATGGTTCCCAAAGTTTTCATAGTTCTTCGCAAGAATGACGGCAATGACGAAGTGGGAGAAGGCCATGCCGAGGGCTCCGACTGCGAGAACGGGTTTGCGGCCGAGCTTGTCAATGTAAAGGACTGCGGGGATGGTGGCGAGGAACATGACGATGCCGACGACGCCTGTCGCGAGGAGGGATTGCGTGGTTCCTTCGAGACCGATTTGCTCGAAGATTTGAGGCGCGTAGTAGAGAACCTGGGAAAGGGAAAGTCAGCATAAGTTTCGAATGTAGATCATCAACGAGACCCGGTATTGTACGTACGGCGTTGATACCAGTCCACTGCTGGAAGAACATAGTGACAGTCGCGACGATAACCCTCTTGAACATAGCCTTTGTCTTGAAAAGCGAAGCAATCGCAACAAATTGGAGCTTAAAAATGTTCATAGTAGTCTGCTCGCGAAGATGCGGGAAAGCTTCAGCAACACTGCGCTTCTCGAACATGGACTGTGCCTTGATTTCCAAGAATTCCAACTCGATGAGCTCGTGGTCGGCGGGGAGGTTGCGAAGAGAGGCCAGGTTGCTCCTCGCCTCTTCTTCGCGTCCATGGTGTACCAACCAACGTGGGGAGAACGGCATCCAGACCATTCCGATGATGAGGACGAATGCTGGGACGAGCTGAAGGCAGATGGGTACGAGCCATGCGGCGTTGGATTGCGTCTCGAGTGTTGTGCCTCCGATGTAGTTGGTTCCGTAGTTGATCCAGAAGCTGATCATGATGCCGAAGGTGATGGCAAGTTGTTGCAGTGCAACCAAAGCACCACGAACCTCACTGAGACGCATTAGCATGTTGGTCAAGTGATAGGGTACCTGTCTTTGGATATACTTACGGAGGCGCACATTCACTGTTGTACATAGGAACGATGACAGAAAGACCACCAACTCCGATACCACTAAGATTGATTAGCAAATGTTGAAAGATCTGGATTAATGGTTCACTAACGTGATGAAGCGACCAGCCAGAATCTCCTCATGACCACCAGAAATAGCAGTAATCTGCACAACGACACCGATGATGAAGATTGCAGTAGCGATCAAGATACCGTACTTGCGTGACATTGCCTCAGCAACGAAACCGGACATGACGGCTCCGAACCAAGCTCCAAGTTCCAGAATAGCTGTGAGCCATCCCTTCTGTGTTGGGTTATCAACATAGCCGTCGGTTTCTATTCAATGTAAGCGCAAGCTGATGGTGGAAGTCGCAAGTACGTACGTGCTCCGAAAGATGGCATAGCCAGAATACCACTGAACATGCCCTGGTTGTATCCATACAACACACCTCCAAGACAAGCGAACAAGGCGATCAGGAAGACCTTGCCGTTCTTCACAAGAGCCCTAGGACCACTGGCGCCCATCAGAGCCTGACGCCTTTGGAGCGCGGCATCAAAGCCAGATGCACCACCGCCGCCTCCAGCCATGATGATGCTCGATTACCGATAATCGAAACGTTCGAAGAGTTTGGCGAAAGACTTGAACAAAAGCCGTCCGAGTAGTACCCCAGATTGCCAAAAAGCTTACGGTCCTTTACTCGGAGACCCCAGGCTTATGTATGGGGGGCCACCGAAGCCCGCACCACCATGTGCATAATCATCCAGCACCCCGGTGGCCGTACCGCAGCACTGTGGGGAAACAGGCCTCCATACTCTTTCCAGATCATCGGTAATAACAGCTGTTTAGCCCCTTAAGCATACCAAGAGGAAACGGCTGCTGGGCAGCATGTTAAAGACGGCTTGAAGAGCGCCAAGCCAAGGCTTCGAGCACACTAATTGGACACGGAAAGCGATGTAAGCATCCACCATTCTTGGCAGTCAGAGGTTCTTAGAGATGCAATACTTCTCTCTTTATAGAGTATCTTCTTACGTATAAGTTATATAGAATGTAAAAAGTATAGTTAGCTTATTATTTTTAAGTTACTTTTAAGTTATTATTATAGTACTATAAAATAGTAATAATAAACTATAAGCTTTAAATTTTATATATATAGTAATAAGTTAAAAAGAAAAGTATATAAAGCGTACTATAGTATCTTTATTACTTTTATAATATATATATAATTATACTAGTTATAAACTTCTCTTTTATAATAGTATTTATTTTTATAATTATTTACTTTAATATTTATACTTACTAGCTTTACTTTATAACTTTACGTCTTACTAGTAAACTTATTATAAAAATACTTAGTATTTATTAGTAACTTTACTTTTTATATATAGCTTAAAAAATATAAAGTATAAAGTTATACTTACTCTTCTTAAGTACTTAAATAAGTATATATAATACTTATTTATTAAATATACTACTTACTTATATAAAAATAACTTTAGTAGTTAAAGCTTTTTTTTTAGCTAAGAAATTAGCTATATAAAGCTTACTTTTTTACTTTTAATAATACGCTTATATACTTACTTTAGTAAAGACTACTTTTATAAACTAAATTAGCTTTTATAGTAATATTAAATAATATATAAGAACTAATATTATTTTTATACTTTATAGTTTATAAGTTTTAATATAGTATAAAGTTTAAGCTACTTAGGCTATCTTAAAATAGTAAGAACTAGTATATAAAAGGTAGTATTACTTAGCGTAAAAACTAAAATTAAGTAATAAATTATATTTTAGAATAAATTTAACGTATTTAATTATATAGGGCTGAAGCTTCTTGGCAGTTATGTGCCGTTCGTGCTTCATCCGCCGCTGATGTCGTTCGGTTGCTGTGGGCCGGGTGCCAAGGGCTATCAGAGGAAAGCTTTAGGCTAAATTGCCCGTCATCAGTGAATTCGTAGCAGCGGAGCGCCGACATGACGAGGCTCCGAGGAATCCTTTGACGGTTGCGACGGCAGTTTCAATAGTGCGATCGAGTCGTGAGAGGTGCGGACTATTATTTTCGTACACGTTTAGCATCATCGACTTCCAAATGTGGTGGCAACTAGATCTTAGAAATCAGATGCGAAGGCTAAAGGCGGAACGCTGATGCAGGTAGAAGCATACCGCGCTTGGCATGGCGCTCAACTGATCGCGAACAGCCAACCCGATGTCCGAGTTGTATAGCCATTCGAACGAAAGACTGGTTGAAGCAGGAGATTGCTTTCCGATGAACAGTAGTCATGTTTCAGGCATCGATCTCCTAGAGCTGCAGCTTACGCGGAAGCAGTTCGCATGTAGTGGCGGTAGCCTTTGGTCTGGCACGGTTGGCAGGAGCACCATCGACCCGCATTGGAACTTTGCGGAAAAATCACGAGAAGCCCATCAAAAATTTCCGGTGGTCGAGTTTGTCCATTCGATTCGAGTTGGACGTCGTGGGTGCCTGGGTGGAGTGATGAGAGACGGAAGCCAAGAGTGCGGCCCCATAGGTATGGGGAAAGGGCCGTGGAAGCCCCACGCGCGAAAACGCGTACGACGCGCTTGCCAACAAACGTGACTTCACGCCAACGACCAACTTCAACCCACGCCAACGACCATTAATCATCGGCTCATACAAAGATGGCGGTCTCAATATTTCAGCGGAAACGCGACTTTATCTACCTCGTCTTCTTCCTTGTGCACCTGCCTGTAATGCTAGGTAAGTACCGAGAAGGAATATCAAGGCTGGAGGCTCTGTCATGCTGCAATAGTACAGCAAGAGTACATATGCGAGGGCCCGATCTTTTGAACCATTTCATCTATCAGCCGTTCCGATGCTTCTGGACTGGATACATCAGGCCCCCGCACACATGAAAGTACTGATCAATACTAACTGAACAACAGCCTTCGACTTGACAGCCTACTACCCAATCCAAATAAAGCCCCTCTGGATGTCTTCGCTCCGCGACTGGTACATATCCACATATGGCGACCGCTTCTTCTACAACGCCCCAGCCTGGTTCCCCGTCCTGACCTTCCTTGAGCTTGTCTACCACCTCCCTCTCACTCTCTGGGCCATCCCTGCCTTGCTGCGTAACGACCCACGCGTTCCTCTCGCTCTGCTAGTTTTCGGTTTAGAGACGAG